AAAAAAAAAAAAAAAAAACGCATGATCTTGTGTTCAAGTCAGGAAATAAATAATTATAAAAAATTTACTTGGACAGATTGATCACACCATTTAAATTGTTTGAACAAAAACTGTACTCTTACCGCGGTACTTCAGCCTAATAAACTTCAGCCAAATGCTAAACAAATTCAACAGAAATGATCACTGTCATATGTACCTCAATAATAATATTTTGCAAAAGCTGATATGTACAGGACTGCCTGTTTTAGTGCATCTTCCTCACCTTGTGATATCATACACCAATAAAGCACCTGCTGCACCTCTGTAGTAGCTCCTTGTCACTGACCTGAATAATAAGAACGAGACAAGAATTACTGAATGAAAAAAAAAAAAAGATGATGTCCACTTTCAAAACTGACCCGCATTTTGAGTAAATTGGGTTAAAGAGATCAAGATCAAGATATTTTTTAAGTTTCACTCATAAAAAAAATATATATTAAGAACAATAAAACATGGCAGTTCTATATAGAACTATGAGAGACTGAAGTTATTGAGCTGTAAAAAGAAACAAGCTACAGCTTAGACAAAACAGACAGAGAGATGCAGACTGGCAATCATTACACACACATTACCATCTGCACATAGCAGTTTAAATTAACTTTAGATAAATAATATCAAATACACACAGAAGATGAATGTCAAGGCCTATCACTTTTATTGATCAAATGATTATGTTTAGACTACTTGACTGAGTTTCAAGGCTTCTTTGCAAAGCAATCTCCACACTGACAGTTTACCACCATACATTCATTTCACCCAGACTCCAGGTATCCAGAAATCAGCAGACTTTTCAAGGACGGCATGGGTTCATTTTCCCTTCTTAATATCCTTAGTTTACTTTCTTTATCACTCCTGTGAATTTTTTTAATTATGTCTTTACATATTACGAACATATTTTAAATCATGTTGCTAGAGAACAATCAATTCATGAATTTCAGCAAGAAATTCCTAATATTTAATCTTAGGCAGTTGGTGCACACAACACAAAGCAAATAAAATTCAAAAATGACCTTTCTTTACCTCTGCCAAGGAGGTTATGTTTTCACCCGTTTGTTTGTCTGTCTCTCTTTCTGTCTGTCTGTCTGTTTGTCATCAACATAACTCAAAAAGTTATAGATGAATTTCGATGAAATTTTCAGGGTAGGTCAAAAATGGGTTAACTTAGAAGTGATTAGTTTTTGGTGAATATCTGGATCAATTATTAATCAATAATAATAAAAAATTGCTGCCTTGGCGGAGGTCTGCGCTCTCGGAGTGCTTTTCTAGTCATGTAAATGTTTTCCTTCAACCAGGACATATTTTTTGAACTTCACTTTCAAGGAATGCATTGTGCTCACATTTCTAGGTATTGGATTTACTGTAAGTTAATGTATAAGTCCTTAATCTCAGTGGAACTAAAAAAGCTATCAAGAAATATTTTAGAAAATGTGACAATAATTTGATATTTTGCCAAATTGTGCAATATACTTTTAGAGTTTGGTTGTTTCTTTATTTCCATTTTTATTTCTGTACACATTAATTTCTAAGTCCACAGAATTCTCCCGACAAAAATATCATTCACACCAATAGATATTTCACTCATTAATTTCACATAAATCACATTAAGAGGTATGCTTCACATCTGGTCCTGCTAAACCTTATATTTCTATTACTGAAAACATTAAACATTAACAACAATTTTTAAATTCCTTTAAATAAACCCCAAGCTTATTCTTGTATCTCAACCCTTAAGGATCAAATGCTTAAAATATTTCAGTTTTGTGTTGACTGTAGATTGTATTGATTTCTATAAATCCAGTTGGCAAACTGTTTCCACCTCACTGCACCGCTCTTCTCTAACTGTCACCATCTGCCTCTCCTCAGGTCAACATGATCTCATACTGCATTACATGACTTGAGTTAGGTTATCATACAAAATAAAAAAAAACTCTATATACACACCAAAACAATAGAAAATAAGTGAAAAAACTGCAACAAATTTTATGGAAACTGGGTTTTTACTGTTTATGCAAAAAATTGTGGAATGATTTGCCTTTTATATTAGAGACACATTTGATTATGACAGCTTTAGAGTCTCTTTAAAATCTCACTTTTGAAATGTTTTAGTAATTAATGTCTTTAAACTTTGTTTCTGTATTATAGCAGCTCAAGTTTAAAAAAAATCCCGAACATAACATACACTTTTGTACATTATTACATAATACTTAGTAAGTTACTGTAATATATTTATCAACCATGACAAAAGACAGGGACTGCTATCGATTTCCAGCTTATAAGATTGACGTACTAGTATTTAGTCTCCTTTGAAGAGATGATACATATCCTGATTTCTAGGTCCTGCCTTCCTGATAAATATGAGAATGATTTGTATTCAACACTCATGCAATGGTAAAAAATCTGACAGATATCAGAAGTCAGTTTGACTGTTTCCTTTTCAGCTTGTCACAAGAGACAACTCACAGGTTTCTCCCCTGGTAAGGATGTAAGGCTGCTGCAGGTTACAGAGCATTATATGATGATGTGTTGTATGCCCATGTACTGTGTGCATGTGTGTAAAAGGTGCTTACCTAAGAACACAATAATAAGTGGTTGGAAAATGCATCTCAACTCACTCTGAATGAGTTCTGCAACATCAAGTACTACATCATCATCTTTGCCATTACACACAAATAAATAAATAAATAAACAATAAATATATTTAAAAAAAACATTAATAAAAGGCCTACCTGAATCTTTCCTGTCCAGCAGTGTCCCAGATCTGTAATTTGACTGACTTGCCACCAACATTGACCACTTTACTTCCAAACTCAACACCTATTGTGTGGTTGGAATCCTGTTTGACTGGAAAAATGAAAACCATAAATATTGTGTTACAAGTGTGTATGTGTAGGCAGAATGATGGAGACCAAGCATAAAACTTATTTGTATAACTGAGCTATCATATTAATCATGTTTTCTTTAAATTGTCCAGGTCTGAAGTCAGCATAAAATATTTTGTGTTATTTGGGGTTTTTTAGTCTTTTTTGTCATAATATAATGTTATAACATTAAAGCAAACCAGATGCCATAAAAAAGGATGACACTGATAATAATGAGGTTAAGATTCAGCCAATAATAATATATTCTTAAACAAAATTACTCACATTTATTCTCAATAAACTGGTGAAGGATACAAGATTTTCCTGCTCCTGCACTGCCAATGATAAGGAATTTGAAGAGGAAGTCTGGAAAAAAATTTACAAAAACTTGAGGACCAGAAAATTTGATTGGATTCCCCTCTCCCCAATAAAGAAAATGTTTTGTCACAAGATTTATTGTTCAATGGTAACATCAGTTATAAGGTGGCCAGTCAAGGTACAGATTGGCATGGATTCCACAGTCTATACATGCACCAAAATTTATCAGGGTGTTAAGACCAGACTGATGGGGGTGGGGTTGGGATTATCTTTCTAGGTGCATCACTATCAACTCTTGACCCATTTTTAGTAGTTTCTAGTTCTGTAGATAAATGGACAGATGCACAAATAAATTTAACATCAAGAATAATGCACTGCCCTTTTTAAAAATTATATCAAATAGTTTAAATGATACTAGTATGGTCCATTCAATACTTCACGCCTTGTTTGTTCATATTTGGCAATCCTTCAATAACTTTTAGAGAAATCCACTGAATGAATGTAATTTTAAAATGATAGAAATATGAAGTTGCAATGAGCTAATAATATTTCCAGAAAACGGGTCTTAGTCTGTATAAAAGATCTAGATTCATTCGTAGCTCTCTAACACTGTAAATCTTCCACGGACCAGAGTGTGGACAAGTGATGAAAAGCCCAGCAGTAGCCAGTAGTAGTAGCAACTATACATGAGAATGTCCACACACACTCGGCTCTGCCTCTAACAACAGTAGTGATTTTTATAACAGATAACTTAAAAATCACTGGATAAAAAGAAATATTGGGCAACAAATTGAAAGTGTTTATCATTACATGAATGATGGCAACTCAAATGAAAATGTTACTCTCTCCACGGAATCTTCTGTGTCACATGCTTGTCACTGTCAGTACCAATTTTGAAGTCATATGCTCATGTATTATTGATTGTCACGAATGAGTTTTAACTGTGGTGCTGAGATAAATACTTAACTGAAGATATACATGTAGTACGTCGCAACAGATATGAACTTGACATCTCCGTTCCAGGAACGAAGCAAGAAAAAACTTACTGAAAGGCTGCTACCAGAATTTAACAGGCAGGCCCAGTTGTGATGATGAGCCAAGTACAAAGTGGACAAATATATCACAATTGTGTCAGTTCTTACCGTATGTCTCCGACATTTCTTGTAATACGAGTTCGCTTCCTCCTCCAAATTATAATGCAAAATGGCGGATTTATCGGTGCATTCTGGGATAACATATTTTGATCTATAAATAGAACAGCACATGACATTTGTTTGGGTATCCCCCATAATGACGTCACGGGACTCCACGCTGGCAGCTCCAGCTCACCAATAACTGTACTGTCGATATTTCAACATTTGGTGACACGTTGCGTTTTTCGGATAAACAGAACTATGGCTATAAATGCTTTGACAAACCGTTCTAAAATCAAACTAGACGAGACATTCAGTGTAGACCGACCTACGAAACCCTACGAGCCCAAGGTACATTTCAGGAAAGTACATTCTGCCTTATTGGATTTCGTTCACATACACGGTACTAATAACAATGGGATTACTACTTTCAAAAATAGCACAAGCTCTTCAAGGGTTCGAAATGTTTAAGGACGACCCTGCAAGGATATTAATGTTAGGACTGGATGCAGCAGGTAATTATACACGTTTTGATGTTTCATCTTTATTAGATGTTATGCAGTTTTGGTTGCATCGTTTTCTTATTTATGCGTTAGTTACGACATTCCAGCCTTATCAGACATGTCAGTTTTGATCACACCGTTTTTTATTTTTATTTTGTTATTGGGAGTTAACTGTAACCTAAAAGATGGATAAATCTGTCTCATGGTTTGATATTGAAATCATGATTAACTATTGTTCTTAATGTGTGTGCAGGCCAATGTATACATCCAACAGAATTTATATTTTTAAAATATTATTATATTTTTAAAAGATATAACAAGAGTAAATAAATTAATAAGAGATCGAAACACAAAATCGACAACAAATCAGATTCTGTAGATTAAAAGCATGAACACAATATTCGATCGTCTTTCAGGTAAAACCACCATCCTGTATAAAGTGAAGCTGAACGAGAACGTGTCCACGATTCCCACCATCGGGTTTAACGTGGAGACCGTGAGCCCGTGCAAGGGGTTATCCTTCACCGTGTGGGACGTGGGTGGCCAGGACAAAATACGACCTCTGTGGAGACACTACTATCAGAACACAGAAGGTAAGGTATATGTTTATATGAGTGAAGGGTGTGGAGGGTATTAGAGACTGTGAAAAGTAAAGTGGTTAAAATATTTCTAGAAAAACATTTTAGCACACAGAAATATATTTTGTATTGCTTCAAAATATTTTCTTATTGGCATGCGGCTTGAATTGAGCTTTTGTTTGGACGTAGTTTCAACCAAACTTTGCTCGCATTGAAGTCTTTTCTAAATTTCGGTCAAAAGTCTGCCTTCTGGCAATTTTCATAATAAGTGACTATGTAGCATATAAGCAATGCCAATGGCAATGTCTAGAATCTTTATTTTCGTATTTATTTCTTAGGTTTAATTTATGTTGTGGATAGTTCGGACAGAGAAAGACTTGCCGAATCAAGCGAGGAATTATTTGGCATCATGGAAAGCCCTGAGATGAAAGGAGTCCCTGTGGTTGTCATTGCCAACAAACAAGATTTACCTGGTAATTATGTTCACATATATTATGTATAGCTCAAAAAGATCACTTTTTCATGAAGTTGTGATTTTATTTTACAAACTTTATTTCGCTTTAGTTTACTTTCTGTATGTATACAAATAATGCATTTGTTAGTTAACTCGCTCGTTCGTTCATTCATTCATGTATATACCTGTACTTCACGCATTTTTATGGTATAGGGAATGCGTACAAATATAAGACCGAAAGACTTTGAATTTTACATATTGAGTGAATATTTTTCAGTTACCATAGTACTGTTAAATCGTGATCGATGCTTTTGTTACATTTAATTTGATAATATTAAAAGTCAATACCATAACAGGTGTTCTTTTTGATACTGTCTCACGCGGAGAATTTTATCATGCTAAAACGCATGGATAAAGTCTAATATTTTTTAAAGAATAATTAATCTTTTGTTATTTTCAGGTGCTTTGAGCGCAGCACAAGTAATAGACAAATTACAGCTACGGAAACTTCCGCGTGAAAACAAGTGGCACGTGCAAGCTGCGTGCGCAACCACAGCGGACGGTATTTACGAAGCTATGGATGAACTGGCACGTTTGGTAAAAGATTTTAAGAAGCACGGCAGGGCATATTGAACAGAGAAAACGTAGATGGCTTTTCAAATTAAAAACTCATATACACTCGCCAGCTGAAAAGAAACGAACAGTTTTTTATCTGTGATCACGCAAACTCAAACTGAGCCCACTGAACAGTCAAAATTTGTGGGAATTTTAAGAAAGTTTACATTAAACTTATGCATTCCAGTATTACTCATATGCCTTTTCATATATGCGACTAAACTCGTTGCAATTGGTCACAATCATATCTTTATCGTGTCTAATTATTTTTAGTATTCTTTTTCCTAATGATACTTTTATGTAATTTTAAGTGACATTGGTATATGTAGGTTGTTTTCCTGATGGTGCTTTTTAAAGATCCGTCGTGTAGTGCAGATGTCGAACATAGAACAATTTCAGTGATAAGATATTTGTTATAATTTTTTATACATGTATATAATTTGTATGTAAATATAATTGTACATAGTCAAATTGTCAAATAAAAAGTACATAAAATATACTCACCAAGATTGTATCGTTTTTTTTAAAACAAAATTTAAATAATAAATACACTTGAAGACGATAAACTGAGTGTCTAGAACATGCAATCAGTGCTAACAGCATCTTAAAAGGCAGAATAAAGTGGGGAGAGAAAACAACTTCTAAACAACGATATATGGCATAGAAGGAAATTAAACATCAGCACTAATGCTGACCAAAGTAATTTCTTACATAACTTTCTGAATATATCCGCTAAAACTATATATTCACAAAACATAAAACTCAAGTTCCATACAGCTATGGAACCAGAGCATCAGATTCAGTCGCTTGGTAAAAGTGTATCACTCTCACTTAGAGGCTGAGAGGGCTGGCTTAGCATCCGTGGTCCCCATTCAAATAATCCTGGATCCGCCCCTGAAGACCCTTGGGTTCGGTGCTTTGGAGGGGAAACGGCGCTGTTTAGTTCAGTTTAGAACTATAGGCCTACTTTAGCTCTTCGAAATTCTAACATCAAGAGGGGAATATTGGTGTGATTTTTTCCAGAAACCGAAGAGGTGAGCAGGTCCCCCCTTGACCCCCCCCCCCCCCCCTAAATCCGACAATGGAGGAGACACAATTTTTTGCTAAAAGAGTATATGAATAGACCAGCACGTGACATTTGTTTGGATGCCGTCATAACGACGCCAGGGGGACTCCACGCTGGAAGCTCCAGGTCACCTTTAATTGTACAGTCGATATTGCAACTTTTTGTGACACGTTGTCTTTTTTAAACAAGCAGAGCTATGGGCTTTGACAAAACGTTCTTAAATAACACGAGAAGAGACAATTTTACGATCTTACGAGCCAAAGGTAAATTTCAGCCATATTGGATTTCGTTCACATAGGCCTACTAGTTAATGGTGCAATGGGATTTCTACTTTCAAAACTAGCAGAAGCTCTGCAAGGATTCGAAATGTTTAAGGACGACCCTGCAAAGATATTAATGTTAGGACTGGATGCAGCAGGTAATAACACTCACTACGATATTTCAGCCTTATCAGATATGATCGCACAGTATTCTTATTTATGCCTTCATTGCAATTATTACTTTAAGTATAGACTAAAACAGCCGGATAAATCTGTCTCAACTATTGTTCTACTTGTAGGCTATGTGCAGGTCAATGTATCCATCCAACAGAAATTCATATTTCAAATAAAAGATATAATTAGAGCAAATAAGAGCACCAAAGGATCAAAACATACAAAATCGGCGACAAATCGGATTCTATAGATTAAAAGGATGAACACAATATTGATTTGATCGTCTTTCAGGTAAAACCACCATTCTGTATAGAGTAAAGCTGAGCGATAGCATCACCACGCTCCCCACTATCGGGTTTAACGTAGAGACCGTGAGCCCGTGCAAGGGGTTAACCTTCACTGTGTGGGACGTTGGTGGCCAGGAGAAATTCCGACATCTGTGGAAACACTACTATCAAAACACACAAGGTAAGAACTGTTATTTAAAGATTATTTAACTAGAAAATGGAGGTTGTTAATGAAACTATTTCAGTATTATAAATAGAATGGTTTAAATTGTGTGAGAATGAGTGAAAGGTGCGCAGGGTATTAAAGACATTGATAAATATAGTGGTTCAAAACAGTTACATTATACAATATTGAAATACATTTATATACTCATACCCACCCAGCCCCTCAGTATATATATATATTTTTCTTTTCTTGGCTTGCCGCATGAATTGAGCCTATACAGGTTGGTTCAATTAAGCTTTTTCGCATTGATCGGTCTTGCTAAATTTCTGTTAAAAAAGTCCGCTATCTGGCTATTTTCACCACCGTTTCAGCTCGCCCCTGTAAAATATAAACAATGCCAATGACAATGCCTCAAAACAAAATACTAGAATCTTAATCTTTATATATTTTTATTTTTTAGGTTTAATTTATGTTGTGGATAGTTCGGACAGAGAAAGACTTGATGAAGCAAGGGAGGAATTATTTGGCATAATGGAAAGCCCTGAGATGAAGGGGGTCCCTGTGGTTGTCATTGCCAACAAACAAGATTTACCTGGTAATTATGTTCACATATACTCTCCTATCAAGAAAGTATCACTCCTAATGCAATGCGTAAAGTGCTACAAAAATCATGTCATAAACCAATGTATTTTGTTTAACTTTAAAAAGAATTTTCAAATTTTTTATTTTGATTGTACAGCTAATAAATAAGGTAACCATAGTGAAAAATCAAATCCACATTTTCGTATTTTGAACAGAATCCTCTGAGTTGGTGGATGCACCTGACGCGTCTGTGCGTGGAGTCAAAAAGTTAGCGACTAATGGCTTTCCACTTACAGTTCAAAGATATTATGAGATCAATTTTGCAGGGCTATCTTGCTAAAGCGCTGATATTTTAAAAAGGTAATTGATCCTCGTTTTGTTGTTTTCAGGTGCTTTGAGCACAGCACAAATGATAGAAAGTTTACAACTACGGATGCTTCCACGTGAAAACAAGTGGCACGTGCAGGCTGCGTGCGCACCAACAGCACAGGGTTTATATGAAGCTTTGGATGAAATGGCACGTTTGGTAAAAAAATTTAGGAACCACAACAGGGCTTATTCAGCGGGAAAAAATAGGTGACTTTGCAAATTTGAAATTCATTTTTACTCACCTGCTGAAAAGAAACAATCAGGCCCCAGTTTCGCAAAAAAAAAAAAAACAAAAAAAAAAAACAACTTAACTTAGTTCCCTGGCTAAGTTGACTAGGATTTCCATGAGAGTGCTGTCACACTGCTCCTGATAGGGTTAAATGTGCCCATATCTATCCCTATGTAACCTTGGTTATTAAGCCAGGGAAACTGACTAAAATTTTTTGTGAAACTGGGGCCAGCTTTTTTATCTGTGATCACGCATATATTCAAACTGAGCCCACCGAACAATCAAGATTTGTCGGAATTCTAGTGCGTACTCTGCAAGAAGTTTACATTAAACTTGGTTTAATCTCATGCATTCCATTATTAAACATATAACACAAACACATTGGTCATAATTATATCTTTATGTATTTTATTTATTCTTTTACCTGATGATATTTTTATGCAGTTTTAAGTGACATTGACAGGTCGTTTGTCTGATGGTGCTTTATACAGGTCTGTCTAGTACTGTAGATATCGAGCATAGAAAGAATTCAGTGACATAGTGTTTGCTATATTTTTTGTAAATGCATATAATTTGTATGTTAATATAATTGTACATAACCAAAACGTCAAATAAAATGTCCATGAAAATACTCACCAATATTTTACAAGTATTGTACTGGTTTATTATTTTCTTTCAAGAATTGAATCCACTTCAAGACAATTAACGGGGTGCCTAAGGCATACATGCAATCAGCGCCTGCAAAATCTTTAAAGCAGACAAAACTGGGAAGAGAAGACTGCTTCTAAAGTCCTTTTTATACTAGACGGTGTCCTTTCTGCGTCCTGTAGTACAGCCCCGTTTGAAAGTAAAAAAAAAATGCTTTACTTGCCGTCAACTGGCCGATCATAGAACATTCATTCTGCAACCAAAACGATGCTTCTACCTTTTTTCTAAGACAGTTTTCATGGTCTCACAAAGGACGCAGAAAGAACACCGTCCAGTGTAAAGGGGGTTTAAACGACTATACTGGTATGGCATGTAGCATAGAATGAAATGAACAAGAGCAGTAGTTATTTCGTACAGAAATTTCTGAATATGTCCGCTTAGTGCATATATTAACAAAATATGAAGGATGAATATCAAGTATGGAATGTTATTTTCTGGCGAGTAAATTTTCTAGTGGCTTCGTAGAGCGGCCCCCTCAGCTGAGACCAGGCACCCCTGCCGTCATGAAGGGCGGGCTCCAAGCGAAGGGAGGGGGTGTCTATTACGATTATTGTCTGTTGTAAGATTGCATACGTATCAATCACTACGTCGTATTTAAAATACGATCATTAATGAAGATGTTGTGCAGCTCAAATAATTGCAAAATTTGTGGCAGCGGTGGGATTCGAACCCACGCCTCCGAAGAGACTGGTGCCTTAAACCAGCGCCTTAGACCGCTCGGCCACGCTACCCGTCTTTTCGTCCTAATATGCAATAAAATTCTCTGTGATGTCACAGCACTGTAATTGCGTGCAGGTGTGCATAATAAAAGACAATTACATTGTTATCCTAATGGCTGATAACTGATAGCATTGTTCTTCACACCTTTTTCGTGACCTGTTTGTGAAGATAAGAGTATGATACATATTTATGCATGAGGTGTAGTGAATTCAGAATTTTTATTTAAATTTAAATTTTATAAAGTAGATTTGTTGCCGTTAACTTATTAGCCATGTGCATTTAAAAACGAATAATTCTGAAATATGTAACTAGACATGTATGCCCCATTTTGTTTCCGGAAAATGCTAATTGTACCATGACTTTCAGTAACCGCTCAACATACGTCTTGTTGTGACGTCACAATATCCACAACTTAACACTCGTCTTGTTGTGACGTCACAATATTCACAACGTCATAGTCTCCAAACAACATACTGCCAAGGTAATTCGGAGAGTGAAAAAAATTTTATCTCTCATTTTAAATAAGATTACATACGGAATGTGCAACTTGTCTAACTTTGCTCGGTTATGGTTTTGACGAAACATCGTTTCTGGCCACACTTCCAGAGAAAAAAAGATGCACAGGGATTTCAATTTCAAGGTAGAATCTGTAATAAATGCTTTTGGAAAATGTCAAGTGAAGTCATGATTCAAGTCTACAATTAAAATGGGAAGGATGCCAATTTAATACTGATAAATTTTACTTACACTCCATTGAGCATTACAATCGCAAAAAAAAAAAAAAAAAACATTCCGAGATCCTATGTTTTAATGTGTCGCTCGAGGTGTATCCTTCTGCAGCGGTGGGACCTGGGACCCACGCCTACGTACAGACAGTTCCCTCAAACCAGTGCCTAGGGCCTCTTGGTCACGTGCACGCTACCTAAATGTAAATGTAGGCTTAATTTTGCTTTATGATCAGCAGTTTTAATCACCGCAAAGACAACCTTGTTATGACATCAAAAAAGTTACTAGTACCTGTAGGCCTAATTCATCTACTGTGACGTCAAAAATAAATTTCTGTGACATCATAATATAGCTGACGACCACATAAACCAATCAAAAGATGATCTCAGCGTTCTTTGAATTATCATTCTTCATTTTATCTTGTTCATAATATTATTGCTTTCCTTATCTAATCCTTCTTTACACCCCCTACCCTCCTAAGTTGGAAGGTAGAAGCGTCTTTCTTGGTTATCCAAGTCCTAAGCATCATTACTCAAGGACTACGCTCTACCTTCTTGGTACGAGAGTTGTTTCTGAGTTTTGCCCAAAGAAACAATTGGCGTTCTTATATTGCCAATGTGGCAGGCGAGAAGGCCTGAGGTTTGGCATTGTAGCAGTTGAGGTCTAATTACCGTCAACACCAATGCAATCGCATTGTACCAACACAAGTATTTACAGAAAATTTTGACAGTTTATTGATAAAGATTGAAATAGGCTAATGTGTTTTTGTCGATATCACTTCGCTGCGTTTTGCAAAACAAAATATTGACCTTCGTCTGAACCAGCTCAGACGCACTCTGGCCGATACCAGGAATGTTATTCAGGACTAAACTAAACCGGTCAGAAAAAATGGCCAGCTGCTAGAGAGCCCTGGTAGCAGCTGACCGTTGCTGTCACTAAAAATAACTGTCTCCGTGGGGCTCATTTACAGTTGATAACATAAAAACATAGAGATCTGCATAATGCATTGAATAGTTGTTTTATGAGTTGAAATGACAAAATGTTTTCTGTAATGCTTAATTAGCAAACTGATGTTATTAGAACATGATTCAAAACTTTGTTTTTATATATTATTCAGCAAAATAGGAAAATATCGAAGAAAAGTTATTTGAAAAAAATATCCACATCAAATATTGACTGTATTTTTATGTCCTTTATATTTTTTAAAGATAAAAAATGTACTATCCAACTTTCAGTTGTTAAAATAAAGATCAAACATTGATCTCAGATACGAATGTTACGTTAAAATGTCTTTCTTCAAGAACGTGTCCGTATCATGTGACGCATGTTCTTTAATATAATTATTGATTTATATGCAAAAGATAGGTCGAGATTGAAAGATACGCACCGACCTCCTCCCGGAAACGCAGTACCTATGCTCTCAGAGGAATTTGACCCTTAAAGCACACTGGGTAGCGCTGTCATCTTGTGGTACGGAACCAAATCTTGAACAGTACAAACAAGATTAAAAAGTTACATGGTATATTGACGCATTAATTTTAATTAACACGTTCGTTGATCTTATCGGTCACTTGCAAACAAGGCCCCACTGCCCATGCTGAAGCTCATTTGGCTTTACTCCTAGTTCACACAGTTGGAGTGTATGCCAGTCACGAAAACGGCCTCCTAGGTCCTGTAGCACGCATCTCCCATGGGTGTCATCAGGCAGTGCTGGATGCTGATTAACTTTCCTTGGCACGAAATTTACCTAGCAGGTGTGTGCGTCACTGCCAATCAATACTGCCCTGTCATTAGACATACTGAGGACATTTTGGAGCTTCTAAAGGAGATTTTTTATGTCTGTCAGGTATTCAGCAGGTATGATAGCGATAAGGGTGCCACGTAAATATCATGCGTCCCCGGACTGGAAGGCGATGGTTCACGAAAAACGGGATTAAGGATGATGATTATGTACATGGGGGTTGGTTCATGGCGGCAATGGCAGGTCGCAGGAGCTGGGATCTTTATGGGGCTGTTTCAGCTCTTTGTTTCTATAGCAGGTAAAGTGCCATTTTTCAAATACATCATTATTATTTTTAATCTGGGTGATGTTTGAAATATTGAAATGAGGGCAATTTCCCATACAATGAATAATGCCTGTTAAGGCTTTGTCTTGGATGTTATAAGTCCATGTTGTTGTTTGATACACACTGCAGTCTTATTTAAAAGAGCATCGGAGTGGGTTTCTTATGAAAGACATGGAAAATCGGGAATGAATATGTGAAATATTTTAATATGTTAGATTTGACACAATCGACTCTTTTATGCAAACAAATTTAAAATACGTATATATACACACACACGAACATAACTTTTTCAGATTTTAGCAGTGACAAACTAGAACCACAATTCTGGAAACTTCTTTGTTTTATTTTGAAGAAAGCATTCGGTTACTGAAAAGGTGTATGTCAGAAATGGAGAGAGAGAGAGAGAGAGAGAGAGAGAGAGAGAGAGTTTCTCTGTTTTTTTTTTTTTTTACTAGTTTGTTTACTTGTGAATACAATAACGAAAACAATAAATTGGCAGGCACCTTGCATTTTTATGTGAAATATTTGATAGTTACAAAACTGTCTTTTTGTATAAACTTGTGTTTAGTAAATATTTCACCGTAAAGTGAAAGGGAAATGTAAAATCAAGAATAAATACAACAAAATGGTTGAGCATAAACAAGTCTTACGAACAAAGCATAGTGTATGGACTTAAGACAAATTGCATGCGAGTGTTGCGAATTCGTAAACAGATGATGTTCAACAAAAACTATGAAACATTATCATATGACAGTTCCACTTTATAAGAATTTTTGAAATGAGGGTGGAAGGGTGACATTGTTTATAGACAAAGGCAGGATTTAGCAAATAACGCTCGTCTCGGACA